ACGCAATTCCCAGAATTTGAAAATAGGAAGTCAAATATTCAAATTGATCTATTATGTAGACAATAAATAATTAATATCAAATCGAGGGTAATTATGGCCAAAACGGGCGTACAAAATAGGGACTGACACAGGTAGCTTCACCTCTATATATACAGGGTGTCCTATATCCAACCTATATCCAAAGGAAAACGACTTATTATCGTACATGCTGGTGGAGAAAATGGATTTATACCAAACGGCTTATTAATTTTCAAATCGGGTATGGTTTACTAAGTTGTTTAATCTATTACATAATAACATGGAAAATGCAAAATTTTTTTTATTTTCATTTGGATCATAAATAATGTATTTTTCATTCTTGACAACTCTTCCGTTGACACTGTGTATATTTTATATAGATACTTTTGTATATTTTATGAAGATAATTTTATAGAAATATATACAATATTTATTGGTATCTTTCAGGATCCAAAAGTGGCGACTATCACGATGATATGAACCACGCAAACTTTATGAAGTGGGTTGAAATACAGCTGTTGCCTAATTTTCCGGAGAAATCTGTATTAGTTATAGACAATGCTTCATACCACAATGTAACTGTGGAACGAAATATAACATCAGCAAGTCTCAAATTAGCCATGACAAAATGGCTAAAAGAAAAAGACATACCTTTTCAGGAATCAATGACAAAACCGGAATTGTACAAAATTATTAAAGATAATAAATACAGATTTCCGGTAGTTTATAAATTAGACAGATTATTGGAGGCACACGGTCACAAAGTCCTTCGGCTTCCACCCTATCACCCTGATTTCAACCCAATTGAAAAAATATGGGCTTCTGTAAAAAATTGGGTAGCAGCTAGAAATACCACATTCACTTTAATTAATGTAGAATCGTTAACACGAGAAAGGTTTGCAACATTGCAAGTAGAAGAGTGGGTCAACATTTGTCGACATGTGAAGGAATATGAAGCTACACAAATTAAAAAAGAACATTTGTTGGACTCCACAATGGACCATTTAAGGTTTACAGTAAATACTGGATCATCGGATGAAAGTTGGTCAGAAGATGAAGACAGTGATATAAGTTTAGGAGTACAACAGCTCTCTGATTTAGAATCGGTCGAAAATTAGATTTGTGTCTCTATTTATATGTATTTTTGTAATATATAAGTATTTTAATATTGTCTTATTTTATTATCACATATACACACATATTTAAAAAAATTATTTAGAATAAAATTCACATCATAGTACCTAGTTAGTAATTAATCATAATACATAATTTAAAATAAAAAAGGTAATACAAATTACTAAACGTCCGCCTCTGCCTCTGTCGTCACACCTTCGCGCAGGGTCGAGCACGTGGCTGTACCAATCTCATCTTGGCCAGCCTCTAGCTATTCACTGAACCTACACTGCGAAAACTACATTTCTCTTTTACAGAATTATGTGTCATATTTTATGAAAATTTGCATGAATTAATTTTAAACTATTCTTGATTTAAGTAAAATATTTTTCAATTTGTAGCACTTCCGACAGAGGTTTCAAAAATGAAAATTATAAAGTTTTAAACAATAGTTTATTTTACCCTGTCATAATGAACTATTAATATTGTGCTACAAATCTTACTAGTCATTTATGATCCATAAGTATAAATTAATTGGGATAATTGTTAAAAAATCATTAGCTTAAGCGTATTTTAGGGATTTTATAAATAAAAACAAAAGAAAAATAAAAAACGTATATTTATGTAATTGATAAGTTTACAATCTATGCATGTATTTTATTAAAATAGATTTTTTGAATTGAATTATTTTAAGATTATTTTTTATTACATATGCATTAAGGATACTTATTATTAATAATAATTTATAATAATAAAAAAACTAAAAATGAAATAAAAAAAAAATAGTGAAACAAATATATACCTGATAATAGTACCTACATATATTATAAAACACGGTAAAAAAAACAGTTGAGAAACTATGTACTCAAATTACGTACATGTTTAATTAGACTTATATTGTCTAAAAAAAGAATCACACACCTATGACATATTTTGTTAAAGCTATTACATAGTATTCATAATCGTTTTAAGTGTATGAAAATTAAAATTGTTCACACACATTTATAGAGCAAGCCTAATTAACAGCAGTCTTGTGCGTATCCTGAATTTGTATCCCTGGAGTGGATGTTATTTTGGAACGTTCAACTGGTCCGAGTGAGCTAACTGATTCTTTAGCAATAAACTGTGACTCCAAAAATAATATTCACTGACAGCAGCAAGCAAAATATCAGGTGCGTTTTAATCATCCGCTTCTGCTTCCGGAATTGTCGGTTCAGTCGTTCTAACCTGTCAGATTAAAACAAGAAAACCGACAATTCCGAAGCAGAAGCGGATGATTAAAACGCACCTATTAAAAATATTGCGCCAAGATGTAGGCAACACGTAATAAGGGTTCAAAATGGCGGAGTTATCTATCTCCTTTTAAAAGGCACTCAGAAAGCTGCGCAGTGCGACCATTCTCCGTATAGTAAAAGAAAATCAAAGTATGTGACTGACACTGACAGCAGCAAGCAAAATATCAGGTTCGTTTTAATCATCCGCTTATGCTTCCGGAATTGTCGGTTTAGTCGTTTTAACCTGTCAGATTAAATCAAGAAAACCGACAATTCCGAAGCAGAAGCGGATGATTAAAACACACCTCTTAAAAATATTGCGCCAAGATGTAGGCAACACGTAATAAGGGATCAAAAAGCACTCAGAAAGCTGCGCAGTGCGACCATTCTTCGTATAGTAAAAGAAAATCAAAGTATGTGTATATTATTCTATACACGTACCTATTGTACAATTATTTTATCGAAATAGCATTTTTCTACTCTACTTGTACGATCTCTCAAAAAAATATTTGGCAAAACTGGTCTGGTTACATTGTGTACGTTTTTGGATAAGAAAGATACAAATATGTGTTTCTAGTTTTCTTGTGTATACGAGTGCAAATCATGAGTAAAAGAAAGAATATAAAATATACGTCGTCATAGCGTCCTATTACACTTATAAAGAATGTACAAATTAATTTTACTCCAATTATGCATTAGAATTAAATATTAATTCTAATGCATAGGTAGGATTCCCCACTCGACCATTCACTGTTGGGTTCTAATTAACAGTGCTGTTCCTAAAGTGGCGCTGGGAAACAGTAACAAAGCCTACACGAGGCTAATGGTTTTCAGATTTTCAAAAGATATCAACATGTATTTAAATATTTTATTATGTACTATTTATGTACTATTTATGTAATATTTATGTACTATTTATGTATTATTTATGTATTATTTATGTACTATTTATGTAATATTTATGTAATATGAATGTACTATTTATGTACTATTTGTGTACTATTTATGTACTATTTATGTACTATTTATGTACTATTTATGTACTATTTATGTACTATTTATGTACTATTTATGTACTATTTATGTACTATTTATGTACTATTTATGTACTATTTATGTACTATTTATGTACTATTTATGTACTATTTATGTACTATTTACGTACTATTTATGTACTATTTATGTACTATTTATGTACTATTTATGTACTATTTATGTACTATTTATGTACTATTTATGTACTATTTATGTACTATTTATGTACTATTTATGTACTATTTATGTACTATTTATGTACCATTTATGTACTATTTATGTACTATTTATGTACTATTTATGTACTATTTATGTACTATTTATGTACTATTTATGTACTATTTATGTACTATTTATGTACTATTTATGTACTATTTATGTACTATTTATGTACTATTTATGTACTATTTATGTACTATTTATGTACTATTTATGTACTATTTATGTACAATTTATGTACTATTTATGTACTATTTATGTACTATTTATGTACTATTTATGTACTATTTATGTACCATTTATGTACTATTTATGTACTATTTATGTACTATTTATGTACTATTTATGTACTATTTATGTACTATTTATGTACTATTTATGTACTATTTATGTACTATTTATGTACTATTTATGTACTATTTATGTACTATTTATGTACTATTTATGTACTATTTATGTACTATTTATGTACTATTTATGTACTATTTATGTACTATTTATGTACTATTTATGTACTATTTATGTACTATTTATGTACTATTTATGTACTATTTATGTACTATTTATGTACTATTTATGTACTATTTATGTACTATTTATGTACTATTTATGTACTATTTATGTACTATTTATGTACTATTTATGTACTATTTATGTACTATTTATGTACTATTTATGTACTATTTATGTACTATTTATGTACTATTTATGTACTCTGGACACAATGTGTACTAATGTACATTTTCCCAGCGGTTTACCCCTTATTTTCCACTTTTTTTTTTTTGGTGTCATCGGCATCAACTGCTACGGTTATTAGCCTCGTGTTCTGTGTAGGCTTTGTTACTGTTTCCGAGCGCCACTTTAGGAACAGCACTCTTAATTAGTACCCAACAGTGAATGGTCGAGTGGGGAATTCTACCAAGGCATCAGAATTAATTTTAAATAATTAAATTAAATGAAAAAATTCCGGCCAATGGCGGGATTCGAACCTGGGACCCTTGGATCCGCAGGCAGAGACTATCACTGAGCCACCCACCCCGTCAAATAATGATATTAATTTTCGATATTGGAATCAGTTGAGTCATTAGTTTTTGAAATGTAAATTATACACCAATTTAGTTATGATAAAGTTTAGAAAATATGTATGTGATGTAATTATAACGGAACGAATAAATGCATAAAACTAGAAAATTTGTATAGACTTTTATTTAAGAAAAAGAACTAATTGTATTAAGAAGTATGCACTACTTTTAAATATTATAAATCAATTATTTTTTACATAATAAATAATTCATTAATTTGGATAATTATTATGAGTAATTAATACTTAAGAAATATTAAAGCCATTTTAATTAATGATAGATAATTTTGAGTCATAAAATACTTCTTCTGGTTCTTCCAATTCTTCCAGTTCTGATTTTTCTGGTGAGTTATAAACTTCTAAGATTACGAAATTTTCAGAAGTTGTATTTTTCTGTACAATAGAGTCCACTAGTTCTCTGTAAGTGGGAACACCAGTTCTTCCTCTACAATTAATATTAGTTAATACTTTTTTTAACCATTATAGAAGTCATTAAAATAAACATTTTTTTCAAAACAAATCAAAAATGTTCAACAATATTTTCGAAATAATTTTATTGTTAATGAAAACTAAACGAAATAATTATTTGCAGATTTAATTTAAAAATATGAAAAAAATTCAATTGTTTACAACAAATTGTTTAATAAATAAACAATGAAAATTTAAATAAAAACAATTTTTTTTAACAAGATAAATTATGGTTTAAAAAAAATGGTTGCTTAATAATAAATACAAGTGGAAAAAAATTGTTAATTAACAAATCCGTTTTTAAGCAATAAATTTTCTTATAACTCATTTGTTTATTTAAAAAAAAATAATTTTGTAAACAATAGGAAATAAAAATTTTTAAAAATCATTTTCATGTGGCTTCTGATGATAAAAAAACGGATCCAATAGTAATATAAATAAAAAAAATTAATTCAAAGAATAATCAAGCTTTTTAATTTTTAACCTAAGTACATTGTTAATAACAAAGTGAAAAATATCAATTTTTTAATTTTTCCAACGGGAATCTCTTCTAAGACTGTTTAAAAATTGCTCCAAAAAAAGAAAAATCTCATATTTGTTATTTAATAATTATCGCACTTGCAATGTTCATGTTCAAGTAGGAAAAAATTGTTAATTAAATAATGCATAATTTATAGAAATTCAAGACACGCTAAAATGGTGGTTCCCACCTTATCGAGACTGAGGCGAACAAGGGTAAACTCGTAGCGTAACAAAAATGAGAAATGATTTAACGTTAAATTTTTTGTTTTGTGAAGCATTGGCACTACTTAGGTTAAACCATGTGATGATTTTCACAAGCCTTGATTTTTAAAACAATTCTATATCGCCTTTTGATTAGGGTTTAAAAACTTGTTCGAACAATTTATACAATAATAATTGGCCCCTTTACCTCTTAAGCCTGCTTATGTAAAATATTTGGGCTTCTTACTTCGCCTATTTATATTCTATTAATAAAGGACAGAAGGATGAGTATTGTAACTATGTTAAAAGAAATAAATTGGCTTTCAGTTCAGAATTATGTTCAGTACATGACTGATATTTATTTATAAAATAAAAATGACAGTACCATCGCATCAGATCTATTAGAAAAAATTCAATATAATTCGCAATATCACAACTATAATACAAGAAACCAATCTGACTTTCATGTACGGCAAGCCATCACTAAAAGTTCCCAAAATACAATTTTTATTAAAGGTTTAAAAAACTTAATAGACTGCCTACGGAAATTAAAAAAAAAACAATAAATGAATTCAAAAGTAACCTCAAACAATATTTGATAAATAAACAGAACGGATATACTTTCTTGTGATAATACTCTTTAAACCTGCCCTTTTTAAGTATTTCCCTCAATTTATTGTTATTTTACCCCTCGTTTTATCCGCATTTATTATAGATTATTTGTTTTGAGATCATGTACTTTATTTTAAAAAATTACTTGATGTTATAATAATACCACTTAATACTATGTTTAAATAGTTCATAGTTTTGTAAAGATAGGTTATAGCAACTTATAGCCACAAAACTATTTTTGTGTTAAAGTAGATCCATAGAGAGCAATCTAATTTACAAAGGCCTTCTTTCAACATACAAATAAATGACAAGTTTATAATTAAAATGAAAAACACAACAAAATACCTTTATCATAAATAATCCAAATTTGAAATGGACGTTATATCCTACCTCTCTTTTATATAATAAAAAAGTGCATTGTATAAGAACATTATATTATCTGTCTTGCTGTACTTTTATTTATGGAAAGCCTGAATTGAGATATTTATTATTTGCAATAAATATCAAAAGTATACATTTTTAAATAATTTGACATTTAAGAGCCATACACATTTTGATACTTGACAGGCATAGCCAAGCATTATTTTGATTTTTGCCAAATAAAATGGCCGGTTAATTATTCTATGGGGTTGCGACAGAGAAATTTGATGAAGGTGTTTTTGTGGCTAGGGGCGAAATAGTAGTACGCTTAATAGCACCACCATAAAATATATAAACTGCTTATATAATTTTCATAAATTGGCAGGCTTGGCGACTAATTTCGAATGAAAATAGCCTCCAAAATGGCTATATGGTTGCAAGTATGAAGTTCGCAACCCGCCTTAGAAATTTCACCTTTACTATCAACAGCTGTTGTTTGACAGGTCGAATGTTTGCAATTTATGGAATGTGAAGAATGTTAGGAATTTTGACGTTAGAAATAATTGAAATTCCTAAAATTGTTCACATAAGGAATGCATAGGCAGATTTTAAAAAAATTGTTATTAAAGTAGTTAGGATGAACCGAAATTTCTGAAAATCAATAGGGTTATAAGTTAGAAGTAATTATTCAAGAAAATCAAAACCGCAAGTCAATCAGAACTTTCGTTCTAGAGTTATCGTGCCGGCATACATACAGACGACCAGACAAAAACTTTTTTTGCATTTTCGGAAGAATGATCGGAAGCATGAAAAAAAGTTTTAAAAAATGGGGGTAAGAAAATTTTTTCGTCTGCATGATTGCAATACTGAGGCCCCATAGGAAGGGCCTCAGTAAAATCGGGATAAAAACTTTTTGACCGCGGATTATTATTCATTCATCTATCCAGTATATGCCTACATTTTTTTAATTCGTAATTTTCATATTTAATAGGTCCACAACGCAAGCCAGAGTCTCCGTTTTCGTCCGTATTTTCAACCCTCTGGGAAAATGTTAAATATTGGTCCTACTGTTCCGGGAAATTTTCTCCTCTTTTTGAATCTTTTCTCAAATTTGGAAAATGTCAAATAGTTTTTGAGATATTTGCAAAAAATCAAACACTATTTTTTTTTAGTTAATTATTTATAACTTTTACAATTTTTGCAAGCGGCTCTTAAATCATTTCAAAAATCATCTCCACGCTGTTCCGAATCGAATGACACCTCGTTGATTATTGTGATTGGTTGAGGTGTTATAGCGTTAAATAATCTTTTTCCACGTTCATGCAAAAAACAAAACTTTATTACTATATTTAGTGAAAAACTGGTTCTTTATTGCACTAGTGCAATAAAAATTTTATTGCACTCATCTGTCATTTTACTACAGCGTTTTATGATCATGACAAACATAAATATTCAAATCAACGCCAAATATTTAGTCCATTTTCATTTTCTGTGTTACGTTTTAAAAAAATTGCATATTTTGTATTATTTTCAATCATTTAATAAAAAAATGTATTTTATTAAAAATGTCATTACAAATTATGAACACAAACGTAAATAGATGCCTCAAACAAAGGTACACGATCACGGCTACTATGATTTGGATAATACAACTGCATTTCTATAAAACATTTTTTGGTTTTTGCATGAATGTAGAAAAAATATTGTATGCAACTCGTGCAAAAAGTGTTTTCATTGCACTCGACGTGTTGTCGCGTACAATAAACACTAACTTTTTGCACTTGTTGCATAAATATTTTTAGTATTCATGTATCATAAACTATCCCAAACAAACCCAAAAGCGTGCATAATCTGATCTTTATCGCACGCCGTACGTATAAAGGTTGGTAGGTAACCGCTTAAAAACATGTTAAATGGGTGTTAAAGGAACAAATAAAAAGAGAACACCATAGGCTCTGGATGGAACTTCCTGGACTTAGACAGTCCAAAAGATTCATAGAGGGGCCATCCACGAGCAGACAACATCAACTGCTAAACCTTAGCAGAAGCGAACTCAAGGCCGTAATAGGACTCCTTACGGGACACTGCGGCCTTAGAAGACACCTAAATCTCTTAAGGATATCGGATGACTCCCTATGTAGAATATGTGAAGAGGAGGACGAAACTCCTATTCACATACTATGCCACTGTCGAAACCTTAAATGGGAACGGGAATGGTACTTCGGGGTATAATATCCGGAACCTGAAGAAAACGCGAAAGCGCCCATCAGACATATTCTTGAATTCATCAAGAAAATCAATCAGATGGGATAGAAACTGTGAGAGGTACAATAAGTCTAGAGATTCAGTACAAGTGGGCTTTGAACCACGCCCTAATTCAGATAGATAGATAGATAACCGCTTCAATAAATAAGATTATATTGTCAGATTTTATTTTGAATTGTCAAATTAATGAAATTGTTTACAAGTTTATCTAAATCAAGTAACATGAAAAGAAAAATTATTTTAATAATTAAATGAAATGTCAAATGACATTTACACCTACTCATCACCTACTCACTCGATGGAAGGCATGGAAATTATTAATTTGCATTTTTCAATTAAAATAATTGTAAAATGATTGATTATTACCGTAATTACGCATTCATACTAAAAAATATCGTATGCGCAACGTTAAGGCCACTCCACTGCGCGTCGTGGCCTTAAACTTGTTGCTCATGCTTTAAAGGCTCGATTATGCATTAGTGTGATAATATAGTATTAAATATCATACTTTTCAGAATATTTGACATTTATGCCGTGCTATTTTGGTATTTATTAACATCGATTAAAAAGCAAGAAAAAATATTCTTTCCTTCCCAAATTTTAATTCCGTAATTATTCTGTTAAAGAATTAAAAGTATGTTTTTCATAATTTTAATACACGTATTTCCATTATGAAAAACATAATAGAAATTGCCGATTTAAAATAATGAAATACCTACATAATAGAAGTTCAATAATTGAAATTATGAAATACATGATAGAAATTCATAATTGTAGGCAACCCATAATAAATAATGGAAAATTAATTTCTATGTATTTCATAATTTTAATTCATGAATTTCAATTATGTGGTTCATAATTTTAATTCTTGAATTTTTATTGTTTTTCGTAATGGGAATATATTTATTATCATTATGAAAAACATAATAGAAATTCAAGAATTGAAATTATGAAATACATAATTTATATATTTTGGAAACTATTGGGTACTTAGAGACGATTTTGGGTTCAAATTAT